TAGGATCTCTAACTGACGAAATGTGCGACATTTGATGTTTCACTTTGCCATTCGGAGGGCTGAGCCATTTGTAAGATGGTTCAGATACCTTCCCTTTAGGCTGCGGTGCAGGCTGAAAAAGACTTCCCAGCACAACCTTCAGAGCAGAGTGTGTCCCGCGGCGCCGGCGCCATGGCTAGAGAGCAGGAGCTGTCGTGAACAGTCAGCTGAATCCAAAGTTCAAGTGGAAAGTAAACATGGAAAACTCACTAGGAAGTACCTAAGCAGAAGGAAATAAGGCTGAGAGAACAGACTATGAAGTCCAGACATCATCTTAAGTACATATGAAACTTGAAACACTGAGCGGGCGTCTCAAACCAATGGAGGAAGACGATCATTCAACAAACGGTGGATCACTGGCTGGCCAGCTGGGGGAAAGTAAGTTTGGATTTCCATCAACATTTAATATAGATGGAACAAATATTTTAATTAAAAAGTAAGAAAATATGGGGAAAGAGACCAAGGCTGTTCTAAGCAAAACAAAACTCAGAAGCTGTAAAAAGAAAATCAGGGGGCAGGCAGAGCTCATATTTAGCATGCACGAGGTCCTGGGTCAATCCCCAGTACCTCTACTTTAAAAAAAAAGAAAGAAAGAAAGAAAATCAGATTATTTTTTAAACTGCCTGGGGTGGGGATGGAATTCCACACTCAAAAACAAATACGGAAAAAGATTTTTTATTGCCTTTGGTAAGGAACTAATTAATATGGAGTTATGAAAAGCTAAAGTACACAATTTAGTAATTATACAACTATGTGTATAGTAGATGTCCTTCTGTGTAAAACGCGGGCGGGGTACTTCATACTACATTCATATCTGCAAGAGTCCTGCTATTTTGCTTGCTTTGCAGTGGAGTGTGTTTCAGAGGGAGTCGCTCCTTCAGTGGCGGTACTTTCCCTAAGGAAGGAAGGAAGGAAGGAAGGTGAAAACCAAGTAGTAAAAATTATCCTTGAAACAAGCGTGCACAAACTTTGCCAGGGGGTGGCGAGGCAGGGGGAGGGGGGGTGTCAATGAGCACAACATACTTCTGGGTCTGTTTTGGCAAAATCTCCGGATTATGAATAAACAAGCCGGGCAGTTCCTCTTCTAGGGGTTTATTGTCTCGTTTCACATAAACGAAACGTCCTGTGTGAGAAGTTCCCTCACTGTGTGCGAGCCCTGACAGAGGTGGAAAAGAAACGGCTATTGCAGGGAGCCGGTCCACGTGGCCCATCCTGGCTGTAGCTGGATGTGTACAAAGAAATTCCGGAAGGACACCCAAGAAAGTGATAACCTGGGTTTTCTATTGGGTAAACAGATGCAGGGGTCAGGAGATTTATCACCATCCATCTCTTTGTATACTCGTAAAATTTGAACTACATCAATGTATTATCTAGTCCACAAATTAGGTCTCAAAGCCACTATAACCAGAAAAATGCTAACAACCTAATAGAAAAATGGGCAATGTATGTGACGAGACAGTTTCCAGAAAAAGATGTACACACAAACCACGAATGGCTTTTAAGCCTATGGAAGTGTGCTGAGGCGATTGCTTAAATGAGAGAACCAATTAGAACAATACTAAGCTTTTTTTTTTCCACAAAAGAATAGTATAGATCAAAAAGTTGGATAATACAATACTTTGGGGAGGGTACGGACAAATGTTCTCATACGCTGCCAGCAGGCATGTAACCTGGTATAACTTCTCTGGAGAGCTGTGGGGAACATCTGTTGGAATTCAGAATTCATGTACCCTTTGGTTTAGTAATTCACTTCTAGGAATGTATTTGTGTTTAAATGTCCTTCTGGCTTTTGCTGCCCTCATAGATTTCTTTGCCTTTTTCACTATTGAGTGTACACAGCATTTCCTCTTTTGAAAAACCCCTTAGCATAGATCCCCAGAAATGGAACTTCTGTCGTGTTTTACAGGCCAGGGGAGTCGCTAAGGAGAACCTGAGGAGGTTTCTTAGGGACCGTGTGAAAATAGGGAGTGGGGTCTGGATGTAGGAGGATTGAAGCAAAATGAAAGCAAATCCCAACCTAACCAAGGAGGCACTGAAAACGACAAAACTGAAAGAAATGAAGGAAGGTGCAAATAAATGAAAAGACATCCAGGGGCCAGAGATCTGAAACTGCAGTATTGTGAAGTCACGGGTACTACTCAAGGCAATCTGCAGATTCAATGCAATTCCTATCAAATATCATGGGTTTTTTTTGCAGAAATAGAAAAGTCCATCCTGAAGTTCATATGGAACCTGAGAGGACTCTGAATAGCGAAAACAATCTTGAAAAAGAAGAACAAAGTTGGAGGCTCACACTTCCTGGCTTCAAAACTTAATTATAAAGCTGCAGTAATCAGAAAAGTGTGGCACTGGTGTAAAGACGGACATGTCAGCCACTGGAATAGACTAGGGAGCCCCTAAAGAATTCCTCGAATATATGGTCAAGTTATCTTTGATAAAAAGTAAGCACTTTTTTCACAAGGGTGCTGAAACCATTTGACAGAGAAATAACAGTCTCTTCAACAAATGGTGTTGAGAAAACTGAATATCCACATACAAAAGAATGATGTTGAAACTTTACCTAATGCCATGGACCAAAAAATTAACTCAAAATGAGTTAAAGACCTCAAACTTCTAGAAGAAAACGTAGTATAAAAAGCTTCATGACATTGGATTTGGTAACCATTTATTGGCTATGACACCAAAAGCACAGGCAGCAAAAGCAGAAATAGATAAATCAAACAAAAACTGGATCAAACAGAAACTTCTGTGCATTAAAGGACACAGCATGGTGAAAATTAGGGCATGTGGGGAAATGCTTGTAAACCATATATCTGATAAGGAATTAATATCCAGAATATATAAAGAACTCCTGCAATTCAACAACAACAGAAACAGCCAGATTTATAAATGGCCAAAGGCCTGAATAGACATTTCTCTGAAGATGCTACACAAACGACGAACGAGCATGTGAGAAGATGCTCACTGTCACTGTTCTGTAGAGAAATGCAAATAAGATCACAGCGAGGTATCACCTCATGTCCTTTAGGATTCCTGCTCTAAATTAAAAGCAAAGCAAAACAAAAAAACAAACAGAAAGTAATGCATTGTGAGGATATGGAGAAACTGAAACACTTATGCACTATTATTAGGAGTGTAAAATGATGCAGCCACTGTGGAAAATAGTATGGTGATTCCTCAAAAAATTCAAAGTAGAATTACCCGATGATCCAGCAATTCCACTTCTGCTGCATGCCCCGAAGAGCTGGAAACAGGATCTCGAAGAGATATTTGCACACCCACGTTCACAGTAGCATTATTCACACTGGCTAAGTGGTGGGAACAGCCCAAGTGTTCATCAAGGGATGACTGGATAAACAGGCTACGGTCTATATATATAATGGAATACTCTTCATCCTTAAAAAGGATTGAAATCCTGTCAGGCTACAACATGGATGCACCTGAGGACGTTATTCTAAGTGAAATAAGCCAGTCATAAAAAGACAAATACTGTATGATTCCACTATATGAGGGATCTAAAGTAGTCAAAGTCTGGAAGCAGAAAGTAGGACGGTGCCTGCCGGGTGCTGGGGGTCGGGGAAGGGGGAGGTGCTGATTACTAGGAACAGAGTTTTCGTTTTGCAAGATGAAACCGTTCCGGCGTTCTGTTGTGCAACAAGGTGAATGTACTTAACTTTACTGAACTGTACACTTAAAATGTAATTTTGTAAATTTGGTATAAGGTGGTACATTTTATGTTATGCACTTTTTTACCACTTTTTTTTTCAATGAAAGTGAACCCAGAGATAAACGCTCCATCTCTGAAGTGAGGTGAGCTAAAGACAGAGGTGGAGCTCTTGGGCGGAATCAACACCCCCTTCAATGAGCTGATTCGTGTGTCTAGTGTCACTGTTAAGGAGAGCTGGGGACTAGCCTGCCAGCATCGCTGGAGAGATGCTCAGAGAGGCATCTGAGCCGAAACGTTCCTTGCTCGGGTTGGGTACCATCCTGGAGCCCTGGGGAGGACGTCCCAACAGAGACCCCTGTCTTCTGTTCCCCGATCTGAAGGCCAGCAGGCAGGCGGTGGCCTGGAATAAAAAGCCACACTGTCCACAGGACACTTGTCCCCGGCTCCCTGGGTGACCCCACACTGGAGCTTCTCAGGAGGCAAAGATGGTGGTGGAGGGCGGTGGCAGTTGAGCCCCTGGCTTCTTTAGGGAACAGGACTGTGGGAGCCAGCACACTCTGGAGGTGGGGACTGTGTCTTTTGCAGACGCTGCCTCCCTGGAACTCTTTCTCCACAAAAGTGACCAACTGCCCGTGGAGCCTTAACTTGCTCTTGGGAGCCTGGGGCCACTTTGACGGCAGTAGGTTCAACGCGCTGTAAAACCAGACGGATGCCGGGAAGGCAGGCCTCCCTGCCGGGAGGAGGGCAGCCGTTCCTCTTCCCAGGTGGGACATCCCGGAAGCTTTCTTCAGAAACCTGTTTGACTCTAACCCTGGCAAGCCTGGCCTCCTATAAACCCAAGGACCTGCAGGCCTGTGACCCTGACTTTGGGGCCCAGGACATGGTTTCTGTCCTATTTTCCCTAATCAATTCCCAGAGTAAAGGAGGATGTGAGACGCAGAGCGCCTGCTGGGCTGTGCAAACTGCAGTGGGCAGGGAGTTCTGGAGGAAGCCAAGCGGCTTATAACCGTGGCCCCTGGACCTGGACTTGAAACCTGGATTCCATTCCCCTGGGCCTCGGCTTTGACGTCTAAAAGGCTCGAGATATACGCGTATCTTAGGCAATTCCCTTGTGAGACATTAAATTGGGGCCTGGGGCCACTAAACATTAAGGGGCAGTGTCCTCCCCGTCAAAGCAAACCCCGCCCCTTCTCTCTGGAGACTGGGGAGCGCATCCCGCAGACCCTGAGCTCCCTGCCCCTCCCGCACCTGTCCCGCCCCGCCCGCACCTACGCACCTGCCCTACCCGCGCCAGCCCTCCCTGCTGCGGCCCAGCCTGGAGGGCGTGTCGCCCAGGCCTCCGCCCAGACCTTGCGAGGCGCCCTCCGGTCCGCCAGGAGCTGC